TTGCACGGATTTCGTCAACTCACGCATGCTACGAACATGTATGACAACATAAAATGATCATATATGGTTCCAAATGGCATTAAATGACCCCGAGATGTATCCCCTAAAATATCAAGATTTTTCTACACTGGGCCCCGAAATCTCCAAAAAAATTTAAATAACGTGGATATTAGCCTTCAATTTTGGAATTTTTTTCTTCTGAAAATAAAAATTGCCGAAATGTTAACCATGTTCCTTAATACACTTCGGTAGTCCATTTGGGTGGGTGGAACTATCCAATTTGTCTTTAAATGACCAATTTACCGGTTTACAACTTGCACCGATTTCATTAATTCAAGCCTACCACGAACATTTATGACAACAAATAATGATCATATATGGTACCAAACGGCATTATATGAGCCCGAGATGTATCCCATAGAATTTAAAGACTTTTCGACACGGGGCCTCGAAACCTCCCAAATTTCTCAAAAAACGTGGATATTAGTCTTCAATTTTGGAAGTTTTTAACTTTTTTTTGCCTGGAAATAAAAATTGCCAAAATGTTTACCTTGGTTCCTAATAACCTTCGGGAGTCCAATTGGGTGGGTGGAACCATCCTATTTGCCTTTAAACGACAAATTTATTGGTTTACAACTTGCATCGATTTCATAAACACAAGCCAACCACGAACATTTATGACAACAAATAATGATCATATATGGTTCCAAACGGCATTATATGACCCCGAGATGTATCCCCTAGAATTTCAAGACTTTTCAACACCGGGCCCCGAAACCTCAAAAATATCTCAAAAAGCGTGGATATTAACCTTCAATTTTGGAAATTTTTTGACTTTTTTTTCGCTCGGAAATAAAAATTAACGAAGTGTTTACCATGGTCCCTAATATCCTCCGGGAGTCCATTTAAATGGGTGGAACCATCCAACTTTCCTTTAAACGACCAATTTACCGATTTACAACTTGCACCGATTTCATTAATTCAAGCCTACCACGAACATTTATGACAACAAGTAATGATCATATATGGTTCCAAACTACATTATATAAGCCTGAGATGTATCCCCTAGAATTTTTTGACTTTTCGACACCGGGCCCCGAATCTATCTAAAATTTCTCAAAAAGCGTGGATATAAGCCAATTTTGAAAATTTTGACTTTTTTTTGCTCGGAAATATAAATTGCCGAAATGTTTACCATGATCCTTAATACTTTCCAGGAGTCCCATTGGGTGGGTGGAATTATCCAATTTCCACTTAAACGGCCAATTTAACGGTTTACAACATGCACCGATTTCATTAACTCAAGCCTACCACGAATATTTATGACAACAAATAATGATCATATATGGTTCCAAACGGCATTATATGACCCCGAGAGCTATCCCCCAGAATCTCAAGACTTTTCGTCACCGGACCCCGAAACCTCCAAAATTTCTCAAAAAGCGTGGGTATTAGTCTTCAATTGTGGAATTTTTTAGACTTTTTTCGCCCGAAAATAAAAATTGCCGAAATTTTTACCATGGTCCAATCCAATTAGGATGGTGGAACCATCCAATTTGCCTTTAAACGGCTAATTTACCGGTGTACAATTAACTTGCACGAATTTCGTCAACTCAAGCATGCTACGAACATTTATGACAACATATAATGATCATATATGGTTCCAAACGGGATTATATGACCCCGATATGTATCCCCTAAAATATCAAGGCTTTTCTACACAGGGCCCCGAAACCTCCAAAATTTTTCAAAAAACGTGGATATTACCCTTCAATTTTGGAATTTTTTTGACTTTTTTTCGCATGGAAATAAAAATTGCCGAAATGTTTACCATGGTCCTTAATTCCTTCTTTGTGTCCATTTGGGTGGGTGAAACCATCCAATTTGCGTTTAAACGACCAATTTATTGGTTTACAACTTGCACCGATTTCATTAATTCAAGCTAATTATTTCCTTAAATGCAATTTAGACCACCTTATTATTGTTGATCAAAGAATTTTGTCTAGGGAGCAAGTCGGTCCAGGCCAGCAAAAGAAAGGAGCATCATCCTTAAATTTAAGAGTTAAATATAGTATATATTTGTTGTATGGTCAAAGGAGTTAATCATCTTCCTAAATTATAAAATATAGTTCTCTAGTATATTGTCATCTATTTATAGTCAAAGGAAATAATTAGCTTGATAATTATCTATTTGTAGTTAGTTGAACCCGAATATGACCTGATATGGAAATGACCCGACCTGATTGTAACCTGCAAATTATTGACTTGAACATAACCTGACTTGAATTCGAGAATGACCCGACTTGGAAATGACCCAGCATGATTATAACACGCAAATTATTGACTTGAACCGAACTTGAATTGAACCCGAGAATGATGACCCGACTTGGAAATGACCCAGCCTGATTATAACCCGCAAATTATTGACTTGAACCGAACTTGACTTGAACCCGAGAATGACCCAACTTGAAAATGACCCGTCCTGATTATAATCCGCAAACTATTGACTTGAACCGAACCCGACTCAAACCTGGGAATGACCCGACCTGATTTTAACCCGCAAATTATTGACTTGAACCGAACCCGACTCGAACTCGATAATAACCCTAACCCGTTTTAACCCGAACTATTGTTCACCCGATCTGCTATTAACCCGACCTAAACCCGACCCAAACCCGATAAGAAGTGTGACCCGACGTGACCTTACTCAAGCATAACCCAACTCAAACCCGACCCGCATAGGTTATGGAATTAATCTGAATTGACCCGACCCACTCTTACCTGATCCAAACCAGACCTGTTTACTCGAATTGATAGCTCTACCTAGTAAGGACAACTCCTACAATGTGAACCCAACTCAAGAAAAAAAAAGAAAAGAGGATTGATTCGAACTTTATTAAAATTATTATCAATACAAAGTATTAGTATTTGAAAAAAACAATTTTAATATATGAAAATCAAAAAATATAACCATTATTGTGCTCAATTACAAATTATATCCACCGTAGAACAAATTGGCTCATCTCGATATTTTTCAACAATTAACATTTTTAGGGTTTGCCACCAATTCAAGTGTTATATGCGTTGAATGAGTTGTATTAAATAAGTCTCATAGTCACCTTTTCTTCTAAGGGATCTCTTATTTTTAGACCTATTTCACGACCTACCTTTCGCCTTATAGTCATTCCCCATCATACATTGTTACATCTTTGTGGACAACTTCACCAATTTTTTTCAAACTCAACTTCGATAATTTGGTTCCTTTACTCAATGAACAACACCAAGAGTAATCATCAGAAACATTTATGAAACCCACGACATTAAGTAAGGCATGGACCTTTAACCCCAACAACCTCAAAAATATTCGCAGCAGATTCTATAACTTTTCATAAAGGGGTCAAACTAGCACTTTAACAAGCTTTATTTAAAAAAAAAAAATAAAAAAAATCAGATTTCGGCATATGATAATCTACAACCATTAATCCAATCAAAGGCATTTGGTTAGTCCTCACGATATTGAAGACACGTTCTATCTCCTCACTCACAGTATATGATAATCTACAACCATTAATCCAATCAAAGGCATTTGGTTAGTCCTCACGTTATTGAAGACACGTTCTATCTCCTCACTCACAGTTTGAAATTTGGAGAGAGTGAGGGATAGCTCAAAGTAATTAAAACTCCCTTCCCAATTCCAAGTGATCCTGGGATCGATTCTTATCACCCGCCTTTGTGACTCTCTAAACACACACACACAAAATGGAGATTTGGAGTATTCTTCATAGCTGTAGGGAGGTAAATTGCACATTACATTGGATCGTTAGCGTAGTTCATTTATTTAATAAATAAGTATGAATATTGTTTGTAATAACCCTTTTTTTTTTACTAGGTTCTTACAAAAAAAAAAAAAAAGGGAAATTCTCACCGGTAACACCCAACTTCTGTTTTTGCTCAATGGTAGAATGCAAATTTTTGATTATCATTGGTAATCACCAATTACTAATACTAATTTACTAGTAACATTAATTAAACTTTTACCTAAATCCTTAACCATGGTTACCATATTAAGTGGAAAATTGAAAGCGAAATGACTTAATTGTCCATATTAACAAGGTCGGGAAGATGCAGGCTACCATTAATCAATTTACCAGTCATATGGCAAATTTGCTTCGTATAGAAAGGGATTCAGAGTTGTAATTTATTTAAGAAGAGTTAAATGTTGTGCCTACACCTGACGAAAATTTTGATTTCTCTAAGCCAGTTGAATTTGTTCAGATGATCAAATTCTCACAAAAACTAAAATTAATCATAAAACCAGTAGTTCTTCCCCAAATTAGATCGAAACCCACCAAATTAAACTCAAAATCAGATCAAAAATTGGAAAAAACAAGTGATGATTGGGTCAACTGCACCTGAATTAATTGAACCCCAGAAAAATTGAACCCAGTAGTTCATTCCCTATGCTATCTTACTTAGTATTAAGAGAAATTGAGAAGATCTTTCAACAACAAAAAAAAAAGAGAAATTGAAAAGAAGAACAGGGAGTATGAATATAATTGGGGGTTTATGGTTCATATAAAGAGGTAACTGATTGAGGAGGGAAAGCAACATATAACTTTGGAGGGAAGTGATTTTTTAGAAGGATAGATTTGTAAATGTGTTATTAGTAAACCATGGTTAGTCAATAATTAGGTAAAAGTTTCATTAATGTTACAAGTAAATTAGTATTAGTAATTGGTGATTACCAATGATAATCCAAAATTTTGCATTCTACCATTGAGAAAAAACAGAAGTTGGGTGTTACCGGTGAGAATTTCCCAAAAAAAAAAAAAAAACTGAGTTGGGTACTTAAACAATTTCTCCAAAACCCGACCCGACCCATAATCAGCTCTAAAATTATCAATTTATCTAACCTCCAAAACTCCCAAAGGCCCAAATCAAATCATCAATAGAATATCCAAAATTACAAATCATCAATATAATATCCAAAATTACAAAATCATGCTTCCTCCAATTATTGAAGGGCAAATTTGCAATTTCATATTACCAAAAATGGCTTCCTCTCGTTCAATTCAGTGTTCATGAACCTTGCGCTGAAACCTGTGTGATTCTCTCTCCTCCACTCTCTCTCTTTCTAACTTTCTCTCTCTAAACCTGAGATTCGGTCTTCATCAATTTCACAGCAAAAAACCCTAAATTTTCTGGATTGAGTTACGAGGAGAGAGAAAAAATGCAAAGAAAAGGATCAAATCAAAGGTTATCATCATCAAGTAGCAGTAATAATACGCTGCTTCGATCTCGAATTTCATTTCTTATGCTCACCATGTTAGCCACCATTGCTTCCTTCTATGTCGCTGGAAGGTTCGTCATTTCTTTGATTTCATTTGCTTTTTGCTGTAACTTTTTTCGATTCTATTGTTTTGATTTTTGTTTGGTGATGACTGTTTTATTAATTTTTGGAATGATCGATTGTTAATGTGATTGGAAATTGAATTAGATCGTATATTCGAGAGCATGATGCGCATCGTATTACTGAATGCTGAAAATGAAAGAACATATTTGATCTTTGTTTTGCATAATTTGCAGTAGAGTAGTTGGGAAATGTAGATTTTAGGCTATTACTAGAAAAGTTACTGAAATTAGAGAATTTATTTTGTAAATGTAGTGTGATCGTCTAATTTGATTATAAGTTGAACATTTGTAATGTTTCTAAAAGTCAATTTGAAGTTTTGAACATTTGTTAAATGAACTTGCATATAATGATTTGTACACAATGAACCCGAATGATGTACACAATGAATCACTGTTACATGGGCGCATTATACTCCCTCGGATTCTAAATAATGGGTCACATTTCTAATCGTGTTTTGGTTTTTCCGGAATACTATCCAGTCTCTAACTTGAGTTTAGAAAACTTATAATCCGTGGTTTATACACACGGGTGTACAGTGCTCATTGTACACCCGGATAAATAAAAAAAAGGGCGGAAAGAACATCTTGTGTTCCATAAAAAACATACATGTATTTGACAAAGAATATGTTTGTATTTGACAAAAACATGCATTACCAAAGAACATAAAAATATAGTAGAAAGAACGAGATAGAAACTTAATAAATTTTTTTGAAAAATTACACATTATTAACAGAAAAGATTTAGAGGTGATAAAAAATCGAGTAGGGCCGGGCCATATCATAATTTCTCGTGCCCAAACCCGTAGAAAAGTAGCGGGTTTTCGGGCTTTTTTTGAACCCGGTTCGAGTTTTAACTAAAAATGCATTTTTAGGTTTGCCCAAACCCACCCTATTTCAGACCGGATCGGGTCGGGATGCGAGTCATGCCAATGTTGATCACCTCTTAAAAAATCCTTACCAAAGATATCATTTCCCCCAAAAATAGTTTTCTATCTCTCCAAAAAAAAAATCAACATCCCATAATAATTTAGTTTTTTTACTCTAACATTATTTTCAATTAAAAATAATTTAACATTTCAATATCAAATTTCAAAATAACATATGTTAAAAGAACATAATTTATATTGTAAAGTACATATAGTTAATACCTAAATAACACACTAATCAAACTCAAAGAATATACGATAATAAAAGTAATTTAAATATGACATATGATAATAAAAATAGAATTTGGGCGTCACTACGACCTTAAAGAACATACACGCCAAATTCAAAGAACATACTTTGTATTATTAAAACCAAAAAAACATATATGTTTATCAATATATATTGAATAACATAAGTTATAATGTAAAGAACATATACTTTTACTCAAAGAACACACTGATCACACTCAAAGAACATATTAAAGGTATGTTCTTCGTCAAACATAGGTATGTTCTTTATCAAACGGGTGTATTATCTAATTTTCAAAAACTTAAAGCTTGTCTGAATTACCTTAACGATTATCTTAAAAAAAAGAGCACCTTGTGATATGGTAAGGTTGGAGTGTGGTCTATTATATAGGGGTGAAGGGAGCATAGTATGCTTCAGGGGTAAAAAGGGAACTCTTTTCAAGTTCCACAGTTTGTACAGGGGTGTATATGAAGTGTAACACCATCTTCGTGTAATCGGCTTAACTAATGAATATGTTTTATAAATTTAGCACTTTTGCTGAGTGGTCACTTTCCTTGAAAGGGATTTTATCAAAAAAAATTCTTTCAACAAATATAGGCTTTAAAGTTGTGGTGTGAAAAAGAAAACTCTTTTTGATTGGAGAGAAGTTGAATTCTTCTGAAGGTTGAAAATAAGTCATTTTCTCTTTGGGAGATGACAAGTTTTTGTATTCATAATCCTTCTTAAATGCTGAATGAATGCGTCCAAAGTCCCCAAACAAATTGTAGAATGTAGGCTATGTCCAGGTCAGCTCATCTAAGCAAATATCTGCTTGTTTAAGAAACAATCAGATTATGTCACACTCAAATCTTTTATTTGTGTTTACTTATTGGCTTATCGCTGCATACATTTAATTTTTAAAAATTATGAAAATGTCATGTTTGGAATGTACACATTAATCTAAAGACATTTCAGCTGGTAATATTCTATCTTAAGGATTATTGTACAAATAAAGTCAAAGTTTAGTGAAATTTGGAAATTAGATCAGATGAGAATAATTCGATATAGATCAGGTGAATTGAACATGGCCGTAGTTGTAATACTTGGCCAAAGTAAGATTCTAATAACTATGTTGATGTATCTGTAAGATAAAGGCTAAGAGAAGATGTCGCTAATAGTAAGGAGAGTATGTCACTCTTCCAATCGGATGAGACATTAGTAGTTAATTCTTTGATTTTGTGGTTTTAGTTTTTGATATAGACCAGGTGAATTGAACATGGCCGTAGTTGTAATACTTGACCAAAGTAAGATTCTAATAATTAAGTTGATGTATCTGTAAGATAAAGGCTAAGAGAAGATGTCGCTAATAGAAATTAGGAGAGTATGTCACTCTTCCAATCGGATGAGACATTAGTAGTTAACTCTTTGATTTTGTGGTTTTAGTTATTGATATTAACTTTTAAAGTTTTTATGGTTTGATCCACGTTGAGTAACTGTTTTTGTGACAGGTTGTGGCAGGATGCACAGAATAGGGTTTATATCATTAATGAGCTTGACAAAATAACAGGTCAAGTAAGTTTAATACTCTGTACAATTTATTTACTTTTTGAAGAACAATTTATATACCTCGTATTTATGTGCTTAGGCTATATATCATGCAGGAGAGTGAGTATTGGTGCAAATTTGTGCACAAATGAACTATCCTAGCCAGTAACAGGATCCATATGTGCTGGTGGTTAGTAGTAATAGTAAATGTAGTCTTATTGCCAATTAGCTACTTGTAGTGTAATTGATTTCCATAGTACTTTCTTCTGCATCATCTCTATATCTGAAATTAAGGTATTGCAGTACCTGATGGTTCTTCCTGCTCTGATCTCCCGTGTAAATGGAATTATCGTCTGTCTCTCATTTGTGCAAGATATATAATTGGATGAATGTGCTTCTTTTGACAGGGGCGAAGTGCCATTTCAGTTGATGATTCACTGAAAGTCATAGCCTGCAGGTAATTTATATTTATCTTGGCCTTACAACATTTAACTTTATCTTATTGTGAATAAAATTTCGTTTTCAAGTTTCAAAATTAAAAGGTCTGGTTGTCAGGGAACATCAGAAGAAACTCTCAGCTCTTCAGATGGAATTGGCTGCTGCTAAAGAAGAAGGTTTTGTTCCAAAACATTATGGGATTGACAAGGATAAACCTAAGAAAAGGCCACTGGTTTTAATAGGGATATTGACAAGTTTTGGCCGCAAAAATAAGAGAGATGCGGTTCGTAAGGCATGGATGGGAACAGGTAAAAGTGGAGTTTCCGTCTTTTCTTGCTTCTTCATTTGAAGAGGTGATTTATTTGGTACCTCAGCTTTCATGTAAGATATTATGTGAACATTAGTTGTTAACATAATAGGAATATTTCAAGTGGAATGTTATATTAAGGTCCTGAGATTGGGGTTATGATTTTAACTATTAGAGTGATTGGTATCGGAACTAAAGCCAATGATGGGTGCATAATAAAATAGTATATGAATTAATCTACTAGGAGAGGCTTAGTGCTTGATATAAAATTCACCTCAAAATGATTGCCTGCTTGCTATCTTCTGTTGAAATCATGGTCCACTTATATCTTTAATCTTACAACATATGTTTAATATATTGGCCTTGATTTTATTTCAGTATGCTATTAGCTTCACTACTTTGATAAATTGAATATTTCTTCCTTTGGGATGTCGTAATTTCTTTCTTGACTTTTTTCTTGGCTGATTAATGCAATGTTGTATAGGTGCTGCTTTGAAGAAGATGGAGAATGAGAATGGAATTGTTGCTCGGTTTGTCATTGGAAGAAGGTGTTCACTTGTTCAATCTTTTTCTTATGTGATTTGTCAATGATTGGTAAAGAACTGATTTGATTGTTTTTTTTTATTATTTTTTTTTATTTTTATGTTTGCAGTGAAAATCGTGGAGATAGTCTAGACTTGGAGATTGACATTGAGAACAGGCAGAACAATGATTTCATTATCCTTGTATGTATCTGACATTTAGATACTTAATTAAATTCCTTTCCCATTCCCTTATGTATGATTACTCTTATGTTTAGCTTTCTGGTGTTGCACTATTGTTACTTTTTTTTTTTTTATACCTCATTATTAGATTATCACAAAATATTGAGTGGATTATCAGGGAAGAGGGGGGTGGGAGGGCGGAACCAAATGATAAAATTCATAATGGCAGTAATGAGAATGTTGCTGTCATAATGACCATGGTCCATCTTTATAGCAAGCATATCTAGAAGAATAAAATTGAACCACTTATAAGGTGTATGTAATATGTTACTTGTCTAATTGATTCAGATGTTCTGAAAAGAATTATGTCCTGTAGTAAACATTATTTGCTCTATTTCTTGTTAGTGCCATGCTTGGTATAAGAAAATTGAAATTGGGGGAAACAGAATTGATTAGGGACTAGATTAAGGGGTAGTAAATATGTGGAGATGGTGGTTATTTAAAGTTAGCACTGGGTGAGTGGGTGGAGGAACCTATTACCCCTATCTGGCAGTAAATTAATATTCTAAGATGTGGCAGGGGAACCTATCATGCCTGTTTGGGGTGATCTATCATCCTTTTCAACCATTTTAAATAGCATGGCCTAAGTAGCACATAACTTGTATATATGTGAACAACCTTATTACCTTTCTTGGATATTATTGATTTGGATTTTACACTTCATGTTTACAGAATGACCATGTGGAGACTTCTGCACAGCTACCAAAAAAGACAATGTATTTTTTCGCTTATGCTTCCAATTGGGAAGCAGAGTTTTACGCAAAGGTCAATGATGACGTGTATGTTAATGTTGGTAAGTGTATATGACCCTACCATCCCCACCCCCTTTCCCTCCCAAAATGTGTGAAAATGTGCCTGTTGAAGCTGTCTCTGTTTTTATTTGACAGTGCCAATTTTTTACTTACTGAATTGCACATTAGTAGCCATGGTTCTGTTTATAACTTGGACCTTAGCTTTGTTCTTCATTGATCAAGCATTTCCGATCCCATAATTCAGTTTTGGAAGGTCAAGGACTGGTTATACTCATGATCAAAGATGCCTGAAGGTTATAACTTGACTTGATTTTCTCGAGACAAATGTAAAGGGAGTCCCTCGAGATCATTTTGTTATTTGTATAGAGTTTTAGAGCCCAAATTTATTCTTTCGTATTTTAGTTTACTCTTTTATCTTGGTGAAATTGAAAATACACGTTCAGATTTTTTTCTTCGCTTTTGGTCATTTAGTTGGTAAATTATAAATAACTTTTCACAAATGAGTTTTCCTTCTTAGTAGTTTTGTTGACCTTGTTGAATGACTTGCATGTTAAATCATGTATATTTTGAAAGCATGATAAATGATTTTTTTTTTTTTAATAAATAAATAAGTAAACCACCATCCTATGTTGTTTAGGTCCTTGGTTCTATTACTCCCATATTTCACCTAAACTTCCCCTGAATCAGATTTTCTAATCAGTATTTGTAACTTCCTTCTTTACAGATGCTCTTGGAAATACTCTTGCAGCTCATGTGGATAAGCCTCGTGTTTATATGGGATGTATGAAGTCTGGTGAAGTCTTTTCTGGACCGTGAGTAAATCCAAAAGCATAGTATGATGAAAGCTGAACTATTTGAATATAACTTAATATTAAGATTTTATAAATGCTTGCTCTTCCAGGAATCAAAAATGGTATGAGCCAGAGTGGTGGAAATTTGGTGATGGAAAATCGTAAGTACAGAAAATAGCTGAATTTCTTAGCTTGATAACTGGTTTGCAATTTAAGGAGAGAGGGGAACTTTATTACTTCTTATTCTTAAATATTCAGTTTAGCAGCCATTTCACTTCATTTACTGTGAAGCCTTGCTATATTTTTGCCTCTCCTCATGCTTGTCATCTTATGTCCAAACAGGTACTTTCGTCATGCTTCTGGTGAAATTTTTGTCATATCACATGCGCTTGCAAAGTTTGTCTCGATAAATAGGTGAGTCTGTTCTGTGTTTCTATTAGAGCTGTCAAAAGTTGACCCGACCCGAAATACCAACTCAAACACGATTATTAACCGACCCATTTGAATTCGAAAAAATGGTGACCCAAACCTGACCTGACCCGACTTGAAACCAACCCTAGACCCGAGTTGACCCGAGTATGTGAGACCCGAACCCGAACATGAATTGACCTGGAGATGACCCGACCCGAATGTAACTCTTAAATTATTGACTTGAACCGAACCCGACTTAAACAGAACCCGAAATTGAACCAAACCCGTTTTAACCCGTTAAAACCCGAATTTAAGCCGACTTGTTACTAACCTGACCTGAATTCAACCCGACCCGTTCCTAACCCGACCCGAATTTAACCCAACCTGCAACAAACCCGACCCAAAATCAACCTGACTTGTTATTGACCTGACCCAAATTCAAGCCGACTTGTTATTGACCCAACCCGAATTTTACTAGACCTATTACTAACCCGACCCAAAAATTCAACCCGATTTGTTACTAACCCGACTCGAAATCAACACGACTTGTTATTGACTCGACCTAAATTCAACCCAAATTGTTCCTAACCCGATTTCAAATCACCTTAAATGCAATTTAGACCACCTTATCATTGTTGATCAAAGCATTTTGTCTAGGGAGACTTAGTCTGTCCAAGCCAGCAAAAGAAAGGAGCATCATCCTCAAATTTAAGAGTTAAATATAGTATATATTTGTTGTATGGTCAAAGTGATAATTATCTTCCTAAATTATAGACTATAGTTCCCCAGTATATTGCCATATATATTATAGTCAAACGAAATAATTAGCTTGATAAAAATGATTGATAAAAATGATAATTATCTATTTATAGTTAGTTGAACCCGAATATGACCTGACTTTAAAATGACCCGACCGGATTATAACCTGCAAATAATTGACTTGAACATAACCCGACTTAAATCCGAGAATGACACAACTTGAAAATGACCTAACCTGATTATATCCCGCAAATTATTGACTTGAACCGAACCCGACTTGAACCAAAGAATGACCCGACTTGAAAATGACCCAACCTGATTATAACCCGCAAATTATTGACTTGAACCGAACCCGACTCAAACCCGAGACTGATCCGACCTGATTCTAACCCGCAAATTATTGCCTTAAACCGAACCCGACTCGAATCCAAGAATTACCCTAACCCATGAAAACCCGAATTAAACCCGACCTATTGTTCACTCGACTTAAATGTAACCCAACCCAAACCTGATAAAAGTATGACTAGACGTGACCCAACTCAAACATGACCAAACCCAAACCCTACCCGCATAGGTTACGGTATTAATCCGAATTCACCCGACACGAGTTGGCCCGACCACTTTGACCGACTGAAACCCGACCTGTTTACTCGAATTGACAGCTCTACCCGAAACCTCCAAAATTTCCCAAAAAGCGTGGATATTAGCCTTCAATTTTGGAATTTTTTGACTTTTTTACCCGGAAATAAAAATTGCCAAAATGTTTACCATGGTCCCTAATACCCTCCAAAACCATCCAATTTGCCTTTAAACGACCAATTTATCGGTTTACAACTTGCACCGATATCATTAACTCAAGCCTACTACGAACATTTATGACAATATATAATGATCATTTATGGTTCCAAACGACATTATATGACCTCGAGATGTATTTCCTAAAATATCAATGCTTTTCGACACAGGACCTTAAAACATTCGAAAATTCACAAAAAACATGGATATTAGCCTTTAAATTTGGAATTTTTTTTTACTTTTTTCGCCCGGATATAAAAATTGTTGAAATGTTTACCATGGTCCCTAATACCTTTTGGGAGTATAATTGGGTGGGTGAAACCGTTCAATTTGCCTTTAAACGACCAATTTATCGGTTTACAACTTACGCCGATTTCATTAACTAAAGCCTATCACGAACATTTATGACAACATATAATGATCATATATGGTCCCAAACGGCATTATATGATCCCAAGAAGTATCCCCTAAAATCTCAATGTGTTTCGTCATCGAGCCCGTAAACATTCGAAATTTCTCAAAAAGCGTGGATATTAGCCTTAAATTTTGGAATTTTTGACATATTTTAGTCCGGAAATAAAAATTTCCGAAAAGTTTGACTAGTCCCTAATACCCTCCGGGCGTCGAATTAGGTGGGAGGAACTATCCAAGTTGCCTTTAAATGGTCAATTTATCGGTTTACAACTTGCACCAATTTCATTAACTCAAGTCTACCACGAAAATTTATGACAACAAATAATGATCATATATGATTCCAAACGACAATATATGACCCCAAGATGTATCCCCTAGAATTTCAAAACTTTTCGACACCTGCACAATTTCTCAAAAAGCGTGGATTAGCCTTCACTTTTGAAACTTTTGACTTTTTTATCGCCTAGAAAAAAAAATTACCGAAATGTTAACCATGGTCCCTAATAACGTCCGGGAATCCGATTGGGTGGGTGGAACTATCCAATTTGCCTTTAAACGACCAATTTACTGGTTTACAACTTGCACCGAATTCATTAACTCAAGCCTACCACGAACATTTATGACAACAAATAATGATCGTATATGGTTTCAAACGGTATCATATGACACCGAGATGTATCCCCTAGAATTTCAAAACTTTTCGACACCGTGCCCCGAAACGTCTAAAATTTCTAAAAAATCGTGGATATTAGTCTTTAATTTTGGAATTTTTTGACTTTTTTTCTACCGAAAATAAAAATTGCCGAAATATTTACCATGGTCCCTAATATCCTTCGGGAGTCGAATTCGGTCAATGGAACCATCCAATTTTCCTTTAAACAACTAATTTACCGGTTTACAACTTGCACCGATTTCATTAACTCAAGCCTACCGCGAAAATTTATGACAATATATAATGATTATATATGATTCCAAACGGCATTATATGACCTCGAGATGTATCCTTTAAAATTTAGAAGCTTTTTGAAACAGGGCCTCGAAACCTTGGAAATTTCTCAAAAAGCGTGGATATTAGCCTTCAATTTTGGAATTTTTCTAATTTTTGGCCTGGAAATAAAAATTGCCGAAATGTTTACCATGCTCTCTTATACCATCTGGAAGTCCAATTATGTGGGTGGAACCATCCAATTTGCCTTTAAACGGCCAATTTACCGATTTACAACTTGCACTGATTTCTTAACTCAATCCTATCACAAACATTTATGACAACATATAATGATCATATATGGTTCAAACGGAATTATATGACCCCGATATGTATCCCCTAGAATTTCAAGACTTTTCGACTCCGGGCCCCGAAACCTCCAAAATTTCTCAAAAATCGTGGATATTAACCTTCAATTTTGGAATTTTTTGACTTTTTTTTCACCCGGAAATAAAAATTGCCAAAATGTTTACCATGATCTCTAATACTGTCCGGGAGTCCCATTGGATGGGTGTATCCATCCAATTTGCCTTTAAACAGGCAATTTACCGGTTTACAAATTGCACTCAAGCCTACCACGAACATCTATGACCACATATAATAATCATAAATGGTTTCAAACAGCATTTTATGACCCCGAGATGTATCTGCTAAAATTTAAAGGCTTTCGACACCAGGCCTTGAAACCTCCAAAATTTCTCAAAAAGCGTGGATCTTAGGATTCGTTTGGCATCGCTGTGGTTTTCTGTTTTTTGGTTTTTTGTTTTTTAAAAGTATATTATATATGTCACATAATAAATCAAAAATTATTTAGAGTTATTAAAATCATGATAATTTTGTAAACTGACAACAAAAAAGTGGAAACACCTTTTTCTTGTTTCCTGTTTTTGGTTTTTAGTTTTCAAAAAAACAGAAAACTGAAAACAAAAAATGATGCCAAACAAGCCCTTAAACTTCAGTTTTGGAATTTTTTGACTTTTTTTCGCTTGTAAATAAAAATTGCTGAAATGTTTACCATGGTCCCTAATATCCATCCTCCGAGTGTGCAATTGGGTGGGAGGAACCAATCAATTTGCCTTTAAACGGCCAATTTACCGGTTTACAACTTGCACCAATTTTATTAACTCAAGTCTACCACGAACATCTATAACAACATATAATAATCATATATGGTTCCAAACGGCATTATATGACCCCCAAATGTATTCCTTAAAATATCAAGACTTTTTTATACTGGGCTTTGAAACCTCTAAAATTTTTCAAAAAACATGGATCTTCAATTTTGGAATTTTTTGACTTTTTTTCGTCCGGAAATAAAAATTGCTGAAATATTTACCATGATATCTAATACCCTCCGGTAGTCCGGGTGGATGGAACCATCCAATTTACCTTTAAACAGCCAATTTACCGGTTTATAACTTGCACCGATTTCATTAACTCAAGCCTACCACAGACATTTATGACAAAAATAATGATCATATATGGTTCCAAACGACACTATATGACCCCGAGATATATTCCCTATAATCTCAAGGTTTTTCGATACCGGGCCGTAAAACCTCCAAAATTTCTCAAAAAGCATAGATATTAGCCTTTATTTTTGAAATTTTTAGACTTTTTTCGCCTGAAAATAATAGTTGCCGATATGTTTACCATGGTATTTTATACCTTTTGGAAGTCCAATTGGGTGGGTGGAACCATCCGATTGCCTTTAAACGACCTATTTACCGGTTTAAAAACTTGCACCGATTTCATTAAATCAAACCTACCACGAACATTTATGACAACAAATAATGATCAAATATTGTTCCAAACGGCATTATATATCTCATATAATTTCAAGACTTTTCGTTACCGGCCCCGAATATTCCAAAATTTCTCAAAAAGCGTGGATATTAGTCTTCAATTTAGGAAATTTTGACTTTTTTTCGCCCGAAAATAAAAATTGCCGAAATGTTTACCATGATCCCTAATATTGTCCGGGAGTCCCATTGGGTGGGTAGAACCATCCAATTTGCCTTTAAACGACCAATTTACAGGTTTACTACTTGCACCGATTTCATTAACTCAAGTCTACCATGAACATTTATGACAATATATAATGATAATATATGGTTCCAAACGGTATTATATGACACTGAGATGTATCCTTTAAAATCTCAATGCTTTTCGACACCGGGCCCCTAAACATTCAAAATTTCTCTAAAATCGTGGATATTAGCCCTCAATTTTGGAATTTTTTGACTTTTTTTCACCTGAAAATAAAAATTGCCGAAATGTTTACCATGGTCTCTAATAACCTCCGGGAGTCCTATTGGGTGGGTGGAACCATCCAATTTACCTTTAAATGACCAATTTACGGTTTATAACTTGCACCGATTTCATTAATTCAAACCTACCACGAATATTTATGACAACAAATAATGATCATATTTGGTTCCAAACGGCATTATATGACCCCGAGATGTATCCCATAGAATTTCAAGACTTTTTGACGCCGGACCCAGAAACCTCCAAAATTTTTCAAAAGACGTGGATATTAGCTTTCAATTTTAGAATTTTTTGACTTTTTTTTCGTCCGGAAATAAAAATTGCCGAAATGTTTACCATGGTCTCTAATAACCTCCGGGTGTCCAATTGGGTGGGCGGAACCATCCAATATGCCTTTAAACGACCAATTTACCGATTTATAACTTGCACTGATTTTATTAATTCAAGCCTACCACGAATATTTATGACAACAAAGAATGATCATATTTGGTTTCAAACGGCATTATATGACCCCAAGATATATCCCCTAAAATTTCAAGACTTTTCGACACCGGCCCAGAAACCTCTAAAATTTCTCAAAAAAGTGAATATTAGCTTTTAATTTTGGAATTTTGTTGACTTTTTTTGCCCGGAAATAAAAATTGCCGAAATGTTTACCATGGTCCCTAATAACCTCCGGGAGTCCAATTGGGTGTGTGGAACCATCCAATTTGCTTTAAACGGCCAATTTACCGATTTACATGTTGTATAGATTTATCTGTTAACGACGGCCAATTTAATTAACTCGCACCGAACTCGACTTGAACTGAAATTGACCCAAACACGTTTTAGCTCGTCAAAACCCGAATTTAACCCGAATTGTTACTAACCTTACCTGAATTCAATCCGACCCGTTTCTAACCCGACCCGAATTCAACCCAACCAGCTACAAACCCGACGTGAAACCAACCCGACTTGTTATTGACCTAACCCAAATTCAACCTGACTTGTTATTGACCCGACCCGAATTTTACCAGACCTATTACTTTCCCGACCCAAAAACTCAAGTTACTAACCCGACTCGAAATTAACACGACTTGTTATTGATCCGACCTAAAATTCAACCCAAATTGTTCCTGACCCAATTTCTAATCACCTTAAATGCAATTTAGACCACCTTATTATTGTTGATCAAAACATTTTGTCTAGGGAGACCAAGTCGGTTCAGGCCACCAAAAGAAAGGAGCATCATCCTCAAATTTAAGAATTAAATATAGTATATATTTGTTTTATGGTCAAAGGAGTTAATTATCTTTATAGACTATAGTTCCCTAGTATATTGTCATATATATAATAGTCAAAGGAAATAATTAGCTTGATAAAAATGATAATTATCTATTTGTAGTTAGTTGAACCCGAATATGACCTGACTTGGAAATGACCCGTCCTGATTGTAACCTACAAATTATTGACTTGAACATAACCCAATTTGTATCCGAGAATGACCTGACTTGGATATGACCCAACCTGATTATAACCCGCAAATTATTGACTTGATCCCAAGAATTACTCGACTTGAAAATGACCTGACTTGATTTTAATCCGCAAATTATTGACTTGAACCGAACCCGACTCAAACCCGAGAATGACCGATCCTATTCTAACCTGCAAATTATTGACTTGAACCGAACCCGACCCGAACCCGAGAATTACCCTAACCCGTTTTAACCCATGTAAACCCGAATTAAACCCGACCTATTGTTCACCCGATTCGAATGTAACCCTACCTATTATTAACTCGACCTAAATCCGACCCAAATCCGATAAGAAGTATGACCCGACATGACCCGACTCAAGCATGACCCAACCCTAACCCATCCCGCATAGGTTATGGAATTAATTTGAATTGACCCGACCTGAGTTGACCTTACCCACTCTTACCCGACCCGTTTACCCGAATTGACAGCTCTAGTTTCTACTTTCTTCATTGGTTGACATCAGGCCGGGAGGCTGAATTTTAGTTTCAGATCTACTGGGGACCCAATCTAAAAATCTTAATTGTCATTCCTTGTTACAATTGTAAATATGTGTGTAGTGCATACCATTTATCAGTCTACTTCATTGCCTTGGCAGATCTAAGCTCCGCACTTATGCACATGATGATGTCAGTGTTGGTTCCTGGTTTATTGGGCTCGATATCAAACACATTGACGAAAAAAAGTTTTGCTGTTCGTCGTGGGCTTCAGGTCCCTCTCTCATTTCTCTCTCGTACACAACATGCAGACTACTTATATATGAGTATACATATTGACATTTATGCTTGCATATTAGTTTGATACCTAAGTCTTGGAATACCATTTACGACCTTGTATCTATATTACAATCAGTAAAATCCTGCAATACCAGCAATTATACAGTTTCGTGTAATTGTACCCTTGGAAAGCTGTCAACAATATTACATTCTTAAGTATATTAATGCTATCCTGATTTGATACTTGAGTCTTGGCATAACATTTATAACCTAGTATGTTTATTACCCTCTCAATTAAACTAAATGTAATTGTACCCTAGGAAAGCTGTCAACAAAATCAGAATCCTCATTTTTCTACCAATGTTATCCTGAAAATAATAGGTTTTGCATAAGCGGCCTCTATACTTTATTAACTTGTCAGGTATAAGGTCATCTGCACTCAAAGGCTCAAACCACATCTTGACCTTTGGACCTTTCATTTAGTTGTGGAACTCCCTGTAGATGTTGTCATATATTTTTTTTCATCACGAAGCAACCAGAATACTGAGAGTTTTAGATCAGATTTCATTGTCATTTTCACTTTCACTTTCACTTTCACTTTTTAACAAGATGTTTGGTGCATACTTCCACTTCAAAGCCTCTCCAATATTACTGAACAAAGTTTCTCTGTATCAGGAGCTATTTGTGCAGGAGTTCGTTGAAGACTTCTAATTTTTTTTTACTGGTTGGAACCTCATGAAAACGGCTACTGATTTCTTCTGCATGAGCAAATCGTTTTTCTGTGTTCAAGAGCCATGCATGAATCCTGGGCCATACACAATACACCAAATCTCTTACTTTGCCTTCTGTACACTGTACTAGATACAGTCCTAGTAGATAGCTACAGATGAGTAGGAATAGGGAATGATAGCTAACCACAGCTCGCCTATACATACATCTTTTATACTGCAGAACTGACATTTTTAAGCATCTACTCTTCTCTCAGGAGTCAGTACAGTTATTCTAAAGAACAATCAGTTACCCGTGCTATAGTATTGTATTAGATGCGAGATCCTCTTTAAAAACTGAGTTCCATGTATATATTTCATTGTTCTTGTGATGTTTACTAAATGCAAACTAATTTCTGGAATTACTGGATAGTTCAATGATACGATAAAATCTTCCCTAATTGCCCTTGTTTAACCTCTCTCCCTTAACATCGCCTCCTATTATCATTTGATTCATTTAAATATTAAGGATGGGTAGATGATTGAGGTCAAAAAGCCAGGAAAGTGCAGACATAGATACAAAAATATGCAAGATCCATTATGAAATACCAAATGAGTTCTTGGATCACTTCAGTAGTTTAGTATGAAGGACAACTAGCTATATAGAGAGCTCAATTCTCAAAAAGAAGATAATAAATTATGATCGTGGCCGGTTTGATACTGAGATCACGTATTAATAAATACGACGTAATAACTTAAATATCTTGTACAAAGTTCCTCTACACTCAAGCAACATAATGTATTTATACACACTACACAGTATAATGATACTGATTAAAATATCTCTTTGGTATAAATGGTGCTAAAGCCAGATATTGCATCAACAGCAAGTTGGCTAATTTGTACATCAGAAAGCAGGTTATAAATGGCTGAACCCACAAGAATGCTTTACTGGCAACATGAAAGGAGAATTTTGCAAGAAGCAATGAGGAACTCTATGACGAACTATTCAGGAAATAAGCCACAGCTTTATCTGTATCATTGTCGTGCATAAGAAGAGCTTCAGCGACACTGTTGGACGCAAACCCCATTTCTCGAAGGAGGGTGTAACCATTCACAAAATCTCGAACCTGAAAGAGTTCCAAAAAAGAAAGAGAACAGTAAAGTTAATAATGGACCTTAGCAATTAACAGTAAAATGCAAAGACCCACCACGGCCACCAGGCCATCTAAAAGCCCAAGAAAGGCAAAGGATTACTCAAATTGTCCCGGGAACATGAAACATATTCAAGGAAAGAACAGAACACTGCATCGTTTTGTAGCCTAATTCTAGAGACTTGAACATCATTATTCACTTTGTCAAACTAAGAAAACATATATACAGACAATACAGCGCTCCAACTAATCCTAGTAGACAGCAGGTGCTGAAGCACAAGTTTCCAGCAACCTAATCCCAAAAAAGTAAAGAAGCAAGTGGACAAGTGCTAATAAAAAACTACCATAATACAGTATATAGATCAAATCCAGAACTTAGACAAAGCAAACAAAGCTTGTGAAAAAGACACCATACCCACGCCAACACACTTTGAAAATTATGGGGGACTATTAATGTGGGAAGCAAAGTGGCAATGGTGCTTTAGCAGCATGACATAGCGAGTCTCTAAATAAGCTACCAAAAAAAAAAAAAAACTGGCAAAATCATACCTTAGTAGGATTGTCCCCAAAAGCTGCAACTGCCAAAGGAACTGCTTCTCGGTTAAGGCCTGATGCAATATATTTGCTCACAACGGGATCCGCAGCAGTGGTCTACAAGAGTTGATTACATCCGATTAGATTCCAGAACAACAGATTAATGGAAACAGGGAGGATAAACCTGACAATGTAAAATTCAACTTCTAGGGACAGTAACAGGGAACAGAAATCTGAATAAATGTTCAAATAGCTTATGCCAGAAGGGGGGGGGGGGAGGGGTAACCACATTTTAAAGCAATCAGAGATAATGCCTTGAAGTCAGAAAGTAGTGAAAGTAAAAAAAAAGTAAAAAAAAAAAACATAGCATATGAGAGCCATTTTATATACATCTTTCAACATACACTAAGCATGCATCAATATAAATCTTGATTAGCTATTAACTTAAAAGAAATCACATAGATACTTAAAAAAGGTCTGTACGGATTATTAAGGACTAAAATCAATGTTACTCAAAGATGTTATACATGGAATGTTATAAAGAAGCTCATATCAAAGCACCTAACCTAAGTTACCTAACACCTAGCAAGATGCATCAACAAATGTTGCACACACACAGTCCAGACGGAACACAATTTGCACACGCTTCACATATATACTTTGCTTCTGCCACCGATAGCAACCTTTTCTTATCCCAAAATCCAGAGGATACCATTTAATTTTTCGTCCAGCTTGGATTTTTTACTTTTCTGCATCAGCATTTTTGTTGTTGCCTCACTCAGCCACTCGTATAGACCTACTCTTCTTTCAGCCTCCAGTAGCAAAAACATGTTGTCTATCTCCTTCCCCTCAGAGAAAAGAGATTATTTCAACTATCACCAAGTAGCACAATTCCAAAACGTAAGTATAAAAACAAAACCCAGTAGTGCCAAAGTATTATCATCCAGTTCCCACCAGGGCATTAAAACACATTATTCTTAAGGTTACCTTGTATAAAAAAATCCGCAACACTTGATTATGTGCACACACACAAAAATAAATCCAAACAATTGGAGCCAACAAGTTTGATCTAAAATAAGATTGATTTTATAGCAATAAACATAAAGATCATGAAGTACATAAAGTATCTATTCTTCTCTGATTCAATATAGGTTGTTTCAGATTACGACAACAAACTAAAGAGTCCTTGATTCCAGGGAACTTTGAGACTAAACACAAACAATGAGAAGGGAGAAATAGTATGATTGAAAAAACAGCATTACACACTTCATAAGACAATCTACACTACAAACATCAAGAGTACATAATATTACCGATGATGGCATGGATTGTGGTGTTCTTGATGGGAAATTTTCAGATGCAAGGCGACTCCAATTCTGATTTTCCTTCTCTGCTTCAGCAAGTATCTTCTTCTCTAAATCAAAATCAAAATGAAATGCACTTCGTGGAATATCTCCCATTTGTGGCAATAATTGAGGCTGTTAGACAGAATGCATAAATGGAAAAGGTTAAATCCCATATATAAGTAAGATAAATACAACAAAATTAGTGATTTATCCACGTGAATAGATCTTATGCTTATTCACTTGCAACCCTTACCATCTTCGTAATTAATTTTTAAGTAAGTCTAGAAATCGCTGAAATTACAGACTTGCATTGTGAGTGTCATGAAGAGGTACATATCCAAGCATTCAATGCTTATTCATTTGCGACCCTTACCATCATCATAATTACTTTTTAAGGTTAAGTAAGTCTAGAAAGTAGAAATCACTGAAATTACAGACTTTGCATGAGTGTCATGAAGAGGTAGATATCCAAGCATTTGATACACGTATTCTAAGAATTTAGAGCTCTAAATATGTAAGATAATTTTAGACACGAGTATATGGACATGTCACTCCTCTTGAAGATTTATACATTAATGATTATTTTATCATAACATAATGAACGTAGAAGAAGAAAACATATAGCCAACGGGCAAGAATAAAGATTTTAGGAGAAAGGGGTTTGGAAAAGAAAGTCAGTAAAGTAGAAATCTACTACTCCATAATAAAAAGGAATCTGAAATCCTGCTTAATTAAAGACAAAGCCAATTCTATTAAATAAAAAAAAACACAAATACTATATACATAGTATTTATTCTCCTTATTTACTTATAATAGGTCAAAATTAAACATTCTATTATAAATAAATAAATAAATAATTACAAAAAAAAAATACTTTTTTGGCTCAACATGAAGTGTTAACTTTATTCACTCGAGTGAATCAAGTATATAACACGGGAATTTGATGTGATATAAAGCATCCCAGTCCATGTCTCTCCTCCATCTACAATTCTGTAATCCATTATACTTAGCCTCACACTATCCACCACAGCCTCTAATGGCCACTTCTATACACTAGTTGACAACACCTGGCAAGAGTCTCACTCTCCCCTAGCTTAAATGAAACTTGACAAAGTGACAAAGAATATTATCATATGCAATGGTCTAAGAAGTTACCAAGATAGAACAATTTAAGCCAAAATTGAACCATTAAAGAAGATAAGTTTAAAAAGGTTTCAATCTATAGTCCGGACACCTTCTTATATAATAAGATTAATAACCGTATCCATGTGCAAGAATAGCAAGATGGCAGGTCTAACACCTATACCATAAATGTAAGTAACGTAATCATGTCTTGTTAAGGCTTATGCGAGTATAACCGGAAACTCTAGCTGTGTTCAAGTAACATAAGTTTTACACATTTGCTTTTTCAGTGCAGCTAATTCAGTGGAGTAAGTTAACAACTAGACATTGCTTCATATCTGATCCAGCTCTAATTTCATAAATCCAGCTTCACTTGCATCCTTTTGCAGGGAGCTATGTAAAAGACACCACAGTTAAACGTGATACATTACATTTTACAATCATACCCTATAAATCAGAAATCTTATATGTCATTTTCTTAACTACAGATTATATTTCTAGGGTTTCGTGTACAGGAATTTTGTCAGCCACTATACAATTACCTATCTAATGAGATTCAATGGAACTTTGCAAAATATGACAACACGAATAGTCATATATGGAGGAAGAGAAAACACGATGCTTAAAACACAACCCCCAAGGGCCCCAACACACCAATCCCTTCTCAGATCCCCCTACAGATTGTAATGTCAATAATCATACTTTTCGAAATGACAATGCAAGTGGTGTGACATATGAAACTCAATCAATTATGATGCAAAACAGAAGTAGAAATATGGAACTTACAGGAGGAGTTATCCTATATTCTGGCTTAATTTGAACCCTGATACCAGTTCCTGCTGCAAAATTTAACACTCCCATGAGAAAGAAAAATATTGTATCAAACATCAACAGAATTAAGATAGCGAGAATAGATTGAGGACCTCAATTGGACAAACAAAACTCTTCAAAATGAACAACCACCCAAAAAGCCAATAACATCAACTGTACATGCTAGCCTACACCTAAGCAACTGCTCAATAAAAACCACTTTTTCATACCCACAATTGGATTAAACAATCAACTCAATAATCCTATGTTTCTCACAGTCTCACTCATACCCATGTCAAATCCTCAACACTCTTATAAGGTCATGGATACATTATTTGAATCAAAACTATGTAAAAAATTGTAATAATAGCCGAGTCGGACACTTGAACACATACCCGAGTAACATAGCAATAATCCATACCCAGTCATTCCATTCATCATTTCATCATCACCAAGCTTATAAATTAATAACCTAAATTCCCACTTCAATAATGCCCAACAAATCAATAACCACCCAACAAAAAGAAAGAAACCCAGGAAACCCCTAATTCAAAAAATTTCAAACACCCCACATAAAAACCCAAATCAAACACAGCAAAATCAAACACAAAAGCAGAAGAGGAGAGAGAAAGACTTACAAGAAGAGGGAGGAGGGGCAGAAGATTGGTGATAAGGAGGTGCACGGGCAGGAGGAGGGATGACCGGCTGACCGGGTTGACCGATCTTAGGGTAAAGAGAAGATACATGAGGCGATTGAGAGGAAGAAGAAGACATCTTTTGGTACATGGGTATGTGGGGATCGTAGGGTGAAACGCCTGCTCTGTTCCTGCTTGAATTGTAATCGTACTCCATTGTTGTTCGTCGTCAGGAAATCAAAACCCCAATTTTCAAACCCTAATTTCTAAAATTTTCAAGAGAAAAGGAAGTGAGGATTCAGAATTTGGGATGAATCATAAATTGATCTAAATTGGTGTTTGTAAGAGAAAATACATGTTAATATGGGGTTGCTGAAGTCATTTCACTTACTAAAGCAAGGGTACTGTCGTAATTTTTCAAGTCCCGTCTATTTACTCATTACTCCGTTTTGACTAATTGGTCCATTCCAACAGCCTTTGCCAATCTAACCAGCGATCCTTCAATTTGTAGCTTTTGCAGATCAAAACAAAGTTTTCCGAAGCAAATCCCCTGTTTATTGGATTGTAGGCGGATGGATCTGTACACCAATTTTCTCATTGCGGTGTGGTGGCTATTTTCTCACTGAAGAGGAAATAAGCGATTCGAAAATTTTTGTTAAATTTTAAACCAATGGGTAATCATATGGTTGTTTGCTTTAATTGTAGTTCATTTGATTATCACAGTGTTTTAGTTTAGAAATTTAATTCTCATGGGTTTAATTAATTACTGGCATCTATTTGTGCTTTTTTAATTACGAAGTAGATGAAGGATTTGTTTGGACAACTAAGTGGGAGGGAAAATAAGGGGAGGGTGATGAAGGGGAGGGAAGAGAAAGGAAGGGAAGGGGAAAATGATGAGTTTTACAAGGTTGAGATTATCAGAGAGAGGAGAGAGGAGAGAGGAGAGAGTACCAAGGTTGAATAAGAAGAAACGGGGTTTTACAAGAGTTAGAAAACGCCTAGTTAAATCCACCTCACCGAAATAATAAAATACCATTAAAATATTTCGATCCAATGCTCATAATTGCGAAAATGCCACCATATTAACAAAGTTGGTTAATATGGCATATTAACCGGGGTCGGCTCGTAAAAAATATTACTATTTCATGAGAAAATCTCTGTTAATATGTTATATTAACACCACTCGTTTATATGGGGGCATCAACGTCATTTTCCCAGCTAAAGTAAGGGTAAACTCGTCAAAGTCAATTTGGCTCTTAACGATTGTGTAGCGGCGTTAGCATCCCGTTCGTAATTCTCCTTGTTCAACTCCAGCTTTTCCCCATTCCAACTTCCCCCAATTCAAACTTCAACTCCTGCCAATGGACCTAGCAGTAATTGAATGAACAAGTAACACCAACTGAGCTGGTAAATTTTTTTGAGTCGAATCGCTATACTGAAGTTCAAATAGGAGGTTGGGCGGCGATTTCAACGGTGGTAAAAAAATCAGTTGAAGAGGTCGGGGCGGCGATTGAACTAGGGTTTCGTCACGATATTAAATTGGTGGAAGTGACTCGAATTGCAGTTACAATGGAGATATTGAAGATGAGGATAAATCCCTGCACTTTAGGGTTAACCAAACCCTTTGTTTCACCCCTTGTTCTTAGGGTTTTAGTTAATTTTAGCGGCGAAGCCGCCGGAAATGTGGTGGCGTTGGATATGGTTGAGCATCTTCAATGGAGGATGAAAGGTTGATCATCTTTAATGGAGGATGGAATTTGTTCATGAAAGCTTGAGAAGATGAAAGCTCATATGGAGAAGATGAAACGGGATTCAAATTCACAATTAACCAAGCTCTAACGTCGATTGTTAAGTGCCATGTCAGCAACAAACCAAAAAACATTAAAATATTGAACGATGCTTCAATAATAATGAAAATGTCATCATATTAACAAGGGATGTTAATATGGCATATTAATTGGGGTGCGCTCATTATTTCATTGGACTTGAAACAAATAAGAGTTGAAGAAGTTGCAATCTTTTGATTTTGTCGCCTCGTCAATAAGCAAGTGGTCGAATTCGGAGTGAGGGCTAACTCAATTGGTTATAGATTTTCTTTTAGGAGGAATTTTAAAGGGAGGAATGTTAGGCATTTAGAAATGCATAACAAAGGGTATTCATGTAATTATGCATATGTACAAACGAATAAATATTTTGATATCATTGGATGATCAAATGGTACCATTGAATATACAGTGATACTATATGTGCACATAATTGTATTATATATGCATTCAGTTGTACTAAATTTATGCGTAAATAGTACCACTGGGGATTCAATGGTACTATATAAACTTTCAGTGGAACAATCAGCATGTGGTCCCCCATCACGTGATACAATCTGATCAAAAAATAGGTGTGGTCCACCTACATGCCTCTCTCTTCCTATCTCTCTCCTCTTTTCTCTCTCTACCATGTGTTTTTATAATATTTTGATCAATGTTATGCATTAGTAAATGCATAACTTTCCTCCATTTCTAGTTCCTCTTTCTTTTAGTTTTACATGATGACTCTATAAATCAAATAGTACTCCGTATGAGATACGAGAAAAATAAAATTTAGAGCAACTCTAATATTGACAACTTAATTTAACAATTAGTTTGTCATACCATATAGGAAATTTTTTAATTTACCACCCAAAAATATACCTAATTTCTAACTTACCACCCAATTTTTTTTTTTTTATTTTAAATTACCACCCAATAATTTATTTATTCACTCAGATTACCACCCAATTTGAATTTCCGGTGGAATTTAGTCACGTGGGCCCCACTATAGTTACTTCCCTTCAATTTTTTTTCTTTTTCTTCGACTTCCTTCTCTTTTCTATTCAATTCTCCCTACCAACTCCATTTCTTATTCATTTTTAGGCCTTAATTCACACAAAACCCCCTTTTCTTCTTAATTCTCAACATATCATCACATTGGAACCCTAATTTTGGTTTTAAAAATCTAATAGTTCTGCAAAATTTTAATTCGAGGGTAGCTGGGTTTACTGGAGAAGTTACGCTGAAGAAAAGTCAGCATCTTGGAGGATTTTGTTGGGGACTAGCTGCTTAGGTCATTCAGAAGGCTTTAGAGTACTGCTTAGCCCTAATTAATTCCCCCAATTAAATTGACAACAATTTCCCCCAATTTAATTCAGACAAGATCCCTAATTTTTACAGATTAAAAGGTTACCTGAAGCGAATTGATTTGCTGTCGCAAATTAGGGCTGCTACTGCTGTTACAATTCACCTCCAATTTGTGGAATTTCTGATGAAATTTAACATGGGATGACAATTTCAGTTAGGGGAAGTGTTTTATAGGAAGAATCGGGGAGGGAAAACGGTTAGAAAGAAAAAAATAGCCGCTTATAGCCGTTGACTGGGGCCCACGTGACTAAATTCCACCGGAAATTCAAATTGGGTGGTAATCTAAGTGAATAATTAAATTATTGGGTGGTAATTTAAAATAAAAAAAAAAAATTGGGTGGTAAGTTAGAAATTAGGTCTATTTCCTACCATATAAGTTTGTAAACTAAATATCATTTAGCTATTTTTAGCTCCAATAGCTAGTTATTTCGTATTAGCTTAGCTTATATTTAAATAAACCCCATCTCTTTAATTAGCATTTTTATATTTCATTTTATGTATTCTTTTTTTTTTTTTTAGAATGAGTTTTTCCAAGCAAATTACAATTTGTAATGCCAATGGTCAAGCTAATAGTGAGGAATTATTTAATATTGTAAGCAACTTACTAGCTACGAGCATTAAAGTTGCTCTTACACTCCATTTTCTCATACATACATGTAGTCTTGAAAAATTGTTGTATACAAAGCATTATTCAATCATACACTCTGAATCTTTTTTTTTTATACTAAAAAGCATCGCACATCATGCATTGCAAAGACCTTGACAAGCCCAAGGGTGTTACTTATACTTCGTAAAACATGAATAAGGCCAAATATATCTATAAAAATAGTCCGTCATTTTCAGTATTTCACGTGGTCCCGTAATATATTAAATTATATTTGTCAATATCGTATTCAACTACCCTTATATAGCATCAAGACAAGTAAAGCATAGAGATTGAGCTGCTTTCCAATAAGTATAGCATCATAATTTATATTGCGGCTTTTAAGCAAGTGTTTTATATTTAACTTAAAACTAAATCTTTCACAAAATCTGAAAGAAACTATGAAAAAAGGGACTACATAGAGTTGATCACCCCTTATCCACCCACAACGGCCACAAGGAATGTCATGTACTCATAAATCATAATTATGTATTCCAATATGATTACATCTTTTTAATTTAGGATTCGACTTCACCAACCAGACCTGAACTACAATCATATATTCATATCTACTCATTAGAATTACTAAAAATGTTGTACATAAGCAATCAAGTACATTATCATTAGAATAACCAAAGTGAAAGAATAAAAATAAACGATTTCCTCTATTTAAAAAAAAAAAAAAACTTCTCCAAAAAACTTTCGATAATATATTAATATATCATTTAATATCTCATGTATTTACACGGATACGCTCTAGTTAAAGAAAATAGAGAGAATAAAAAAACGAGGGAGATGAGGTGGGAAGAGGGGCAAAGTGGCAAACTAGAAAAGAAGGAACTAGAATATTTAACAAGCAGGAGAACAAAACACGTGTATTGGCATTGACGTGGCTGATAGCCTGGCAAACTTTCATCTTTTTTTTCTTTCTCATTTTCATTTCCCCCTCTTTTCTCGCTTCTGCATCACCATTCACCCCAACACCATACCAATTTCTTAATTTTTCTATTAAATCCACCAAATTAAACATAAACCCCATCAAAATTTCCCTCCTTTTTTTTATATACCCAGATGGAAATAATCATAAAGTTTCCTTCTTTACAACTTTTAAGGGTGTAGATTGTATCTTTGACTATTACCCAGAAAAAAAAAAGGGAGAGAATTTGGAGAATTATTTTATACCCAGAAAAAATTAATCATAAAGTTTCCATCTTTATAATTATAAACAAATATATTGTAATTATCTGGGAATTGTACTGTTTTTTTTTTGTTGCATTCAGGTGAATTTGGAGGATTATTGTTGTTTTGGATTCAAAGGTATGTTAATTTACTTAATTTCATAGCTCTTTCAATTTGTTTAATTAATTAGCCGTTTTCCATGCCCTTCAAATAATTACAAATAATTGATTTCTGGTGATTTGAGTGCAATTTAAAAATTTCTTTTGCATAGTAATTCTGCTTAAAATTTCAGTTTCGATGTACTTGTGGGCGGGCCCCAATTTTCCACTTGAACACTAGGTAATACGAGTAATTAATTTTAATTCTTTCTAGAATTTGTATTCAGAAAATTAAAAATTTAATGCAAAAAAGTGGCTATTTGACTTGTGGCTTCCCATAAAGATTTGATGCAGTGATTACTGATTAATCTGTGATTATGAATGATTATTTCTCCTAGTCATTCATCATTGCTGAAACTTTCTAGTTACCTGGGCTTTAAACTGTCTGAAATCTGAATGTGTTAAAATTAGTAAATTCGCATAAGAGAATTTGATGTGGATGTCAACAAGTTGTAGCGGTACCCAAGACCGGAGATCAAATCTGTTCATTCTTCGGCTACTTATCTTCCTTTTAAAAAGAAAGCTGAGAAATCTTACCAGTACTTTGATTGTTGGATTGTAGAAAGTGAAAACCAAAATGAAGCTCTTCAGATACATTTGAACGTTTTTTTTCACTTTTTTTTTTTGGGTGTTCTACCCGGTTCACCCTTTGGGCTAATCCGGATTTGGGGATCAGCTCCGGATACATTTGAACTATTGAAAGCTCAAAACTACTGATTATTTAATATGAATGAACTTTGAGTCTTTGTTTCTCAGGCTCTTTGATTCTTGGGTTCTATTTACAATGGAGTGTAAGGTTCACTGTTGTTTGGGTGTTGGATTGTTAATTTGTTATGGACTCAAATCGAAAACACCACGTTGAATTTTTTATGTTGCTTTTTACTTTTTTTTTTTTTTTTTTTGTTAAGTAGTAGAGTCGTAGTTTGTAGTTATCCTATACTCATCCAATGGATATCGCTTTTCTGTGATCACAGGGGTAAGGCTGCATTTGTTCGACTTCCTCAATCCCTCATCATGATTTAGAGTTTAAGTAGACACTTGATTAATGGTAATGATTTAATGTGCATATCCAATACTAAATATAGAATTGGTGCTTAGATTGATTCTGTAAATGTAACCAAAGATTATGGATAAACCCAATTCTTAATGTGTTTTTAAATAGGTGGAAGTGACTATGAATGCTTATGTTATATGATTAATTGATTATCATTCTGGTATTTCCTTTGCAGCAATGCTTACCTTTTTTTCTCTATGCACTCCATTCCACCCCACCCTATTAGAAAAGCGTATTAATTTTCAAAGGAGCAGTCTTATATATCACAACTTAATTTTCAGGGCTCTTAAGCTTTGGATACATCATGGGAAACAGTGAAGGGGAGAAACCGACAAAAACTGAGAAAGTGGCGTCTCCTCCTCGGGTGAGTTATATTCTTGCTTGTTGAGATTTGTTAGTGATGTTCATATTATGGTTTTGAATAATACTATTAACTATATGCCGTTGGTGGAACGAATTACTTTCTTGCCCCACAGCTGTATTGTTATTAGTTATTACATATTCGGATTTTTCAATTTACTGTACGAAGCCTATAATTAAGGCTACCTTTCCTTCCTTCTACTTCTTATGTTGTTTGAATTAACAGGAACAGAGCAGCGTTCATGTTTATCCTGATTGGGCAGCTGTTCAGGTTACATTCTGTTTAGTTGACTAGTAATATTTTATAGGCCTTGTTCCCTCTCTCTCTCTCTCATTTCATAGAAGTGTGTATTATTTGCTGTTTCTATAAGCTGGAACAAAGTATGTTTGGAATTTCTGTTTCTGGGAATATTGCTACTAGCTAGCTATACTGAGTTATTGATGTTTTGTCGGTTGTAGGCTTATTATGGATCAGGAGCTTTGCCACCGCCTTACTTTAATCCAGCTGCTACATCTGGACATGCTGTTCCACCATACATGTGGCCACCACCACAAGTACTTGCATCCTCGCCCCTTATTTTTAGCTAGATATTTTTGAGTGCATATCGATCCCCCCCACCCCTTTTTTCTCTTTGTATGATTGAGGAAGCCCAAATCTTTGTAAATAAATACTTGAATATTTACCACTTTTTTCCCCTTATTTTTTTGCTGTCTTGTTGATGTTTGGCTAGATGATGGCGCCTTATGGATCTCCTTATGCAATGTATCCACATGGAGGAATGTATGGACCTTCTGCTGCACCCATTGTGAGTTTGTCTCACCCTTTCTTGCTCTCTCCTGATCAAACACTTCTATAAACGACAAGTTACTTAATGAGGGACTATTTTTCTTAGGTTATATGCTCAATATTTGCATCTTGTTTAACAACCTTAGCTTGTGTTTGCTCTAAATTTTGGATAGATGACCAATATAATAGAAGGTGCCATATTCCTTTGTGGGATTACAAATAGTCATTACACATTAATTCTATCCATTTCTTTCATCACTTGTTTAATCTTGCCCAAACCATCCATATTGATATTCTTGAGCTGCATCTATATGTTTTCCTGATTAGGAGCAGTCAAATGCTTGATTTGTATCTTCTGAAAGCCAGATCAGGATGGCACATAGATGATGCTACTGTATCTTAGTGTATGCAGATTCCAGCTCCCTTAAGTTTAGAATCTCCAACAAAATCATCTGGAAAAGATAGTGGTTCAGGAAAGATGACTAAAGAATCCGATGTTCATGCAGCATCAGGCAACGGCAATGCCAATGCTGAGAGTGCTGGAGATGCAGCTGCAGGTGTCCGTGGCCAGTCGCTGAGGTTTGTCCTCACATCTTTTGTTTGTGTTGCATACTTCTGCTTTAAATTTTTGGATCAGAATTGATTGAGATGAACATATTCAACTATAATTTATTTTTTTTCTTTCTTCAAAGAAAATCTCTCTTTAAGAGAGAGAATTAGTAATTAAATTTACAATTTTACATGCTGTCCCACCAAACAAGTTGAATCATTTGATTTTTGTTGTGAAGGACTCACATTGCATAGTCATACACAGGTTGCCATTAAATTTGCTCATTTTGGTGTCACTTTCCAGAATTAGAATTTGGACTAACATGTGAGAATGTGCCTGCCAATGGCAAATGAATGCTTTAATGGTATGGAGTGGTAACAGCCGACTGATGTGGGCTGAATGATTAGATTAATGTTATTATTCCCAGCAATATATACATTCTTGTAATGCTGATTTATAGTGGCTATTTCTTGAAAAACTTAAGTCTGGTAGTGAGAGAATATTTCTAAGATATATGGTCAGTGTTATGAGCCAAGATAATAAATTCCTTAAAAGCATAAGTGTAAATTTTAGTAGTTGTATCCAAAATGCAAATGTCATTAGATTTTAACTTGACTTTGTGGACATACAAGGTTTTCCAAAATATTGTTAAAATGTTTAATTGCTTCTCATTTTGCCAAAAGTATGATTCATTGCATTTTGCAAGAGATTTGATGAAAATAATATCAATGGATTTATAGCTTATTTAGCTCACTTAATAAATAAGTAAATAAACAAGCTGTTCTGAGCTGATAGCCTGATCCATTATGATTGATGCACAGGTAGATAGTTTAGGTCTGTTTGTGTGTACATCTTGCATCACTGCATGTATAATCTCTTGACATAAATTATCATGTTTCTTTACATAAATTTGCGGTGTAGGAAGGACTCCAACATTGTTTGCATTGCAGGGAGGGTGAGGGGTAGCTCCTTGTACTTTTCTTTATGAGATGAGTGATAAAGCACCAATCTACTGTTTGAGTCTGTTATTACCTTTCTCATTTATGATTCTTCCTATAAATCATATCTACTTAATACTCCTTTTATCATGTTTGGTGTATAGCACGGATTGTGGAACTGAAGGTTCTTGTGAGAGAAGCTATGACAGTTCAGCAAGAGTAAGGACACATCCTTTATTAGTAAGATTTCATGATGTCATTAATAAATGTTTGAATTGATATATGTTTCTATTCCAGGAGGACAATAGTTGTAGAAGTTGTAATGGGGTGCTAGACACAGGTAATGCATTCTAACTTCTTTATATTTGTGTAAACTATTGACATTGATCTGACTAACTACATAATCAGTGATTATATGAAGTTTGAATATTATATTTTCGGAAATATTATGGTTTAGCTACACATTTGTATGTTTGCTACTTCAAGTTTAAAACGACGGCAATAGACATAGTTCACCTTTACCTTTTGTCTCGATTAAAATATGATTAGTTTCCTATGTACTAGCTGGGAAGTATGAATTCTCAAGTTATCGTGGAACTTTTTGCTATTTGATATTGAAATTAGAATGTGGAGTACCAGAGTGTCTCTAGTGTATTGGTTTCTTATGTAGTGAGTCATTTTGTGCCCTATTTACTGAGTTTCTATTACTGATTAATTTAACTGGTGGTCTGGCTACACGTGCTAAAGGTACGTGTAACATGCAGATGAACAATGTAGTTCCTGGCATCCCAATGGCTTCTGTGAATCCTGTGGGAAGCTCTCCCGCAAATGGAGTAAATTCTGCTGCCCCTTGTGCACCCCGACAGGTCCTGCACAAGCATTATGTTTCGATGTTTCTCCATGCCTGTGAAAATCTAATTAATTAAATTTCGTTGCTCAGATAGTGAACGTACAAAGAATATGGGTATTAATAAAATGCAGATATGCTCATTGACATACTTTTGTAAAACTCGGGGGGTGTGTGGTTGGAGAGGATTTTTTTAGTATGAATATGCAGTTGTGATTGGTGATGTACACGTATCCTATAGGAGAGGCATTCAGGCATACATATATATTATATACTAATTGGATGGAGATTGTGAGTGGCCATTTGGCTACAATTACCATCCTTTGGGTATCATATTTACCTTCATAATTGCCTGTTCTACTTGCATAGCGTTCATTACAAGAAATTTGCGAATAAACAAGTTTAAACTTTGAAGTAGGTTTTTCAAGTGACAAACCTGAAATGGTAAGTGAAAGCTTACTCGAGCCTGTCAAAATGATAGAGCAGAAAATTAATTTTGGGATTGCATTATATATGTTCCTATAAAACTGCATCCTTGGGTATTGGGTTTAGGAGAGTTTTTTATTTGTGACTGTCATGTTCCGTTTTATTGTAAAATTCAGCTCAAATCTGGAATCTGGACTTTGGTTCTTATGTAGCATATAACTATTGGCTGATGAAATTGCAAAGAACTCCGCATAAGTTATTGACACTGGTATCTTAATATTTTTGCAGGATGAAAGGGAGCAAAAACGAGAGAAGAGGAAACAATCCAACCGAGAATCTGCCAGAAGATCTAGGTTAAGGAAACAGGTTAATAAAGATGAGCAAATAAGCTTCTGATGTTGTCTCTTACTTTTTTTCTTTTTTCTTTTTTCTTTTTCTTTTTTTTTTATTTTTTATTTTGGTGCTTTAACATCTTATCACTACTACTTATTGCAGGCCGAAATGGAAGAACTTGGGAAAAAAGTTGATGATTTGAATGTTGAGAATCTGGCCCTTAGATCTGAAATAAATAAGTTGGTGGAAGATTCAGAGAAACTGAGAACTGAAAATTCTTCACTGATGGTAAATCCTTTCATCCTTTGTTGCCTCTTGTTGTCCATTACTCACTTCACGAAAAAAAATTCACCATGCATTCAGGAATATTTGCACCACTGACCCATGGGCATGTTATGCGTGATTATTTCCAAAATGTAGGCATGAATAATGTTGCAATGATAGATTGACAGGGATGGGGTGTCGTTTGTGCAATATTTACTTGATAGTGTCATATACGGTTTCTATTTTATGTTTCAGCTACTACAAAATAGTGCATCGTTCAGGCACCAACTCGGTAAATGTTAACAGTACGTTAGAGAAGTGAATTGTTTGTTTTCTGACATAATTCTGTCTGCTGTTTTCAATTTTGCTGTAGGACAAGCTGAAGATTATGCAGGGACAAAGTGATGAGATGGACTCTGATAGGACAGAAAATCAAGAGACATCACATATTAATACTGAGAACTTGCTATCTAGAGTAAACAACCCGGTCTCCAATGGAGTGCACGAGCATAGCGAAGAAAAATGAAGCACGTGAACGTATAAATAACTCAGTCTAGTCAGTTTTTTTTTTTTTTACTTCTTCTTTTAGCCGGAGAGATCTTGTGGATATAAGCTGACCAAAGGACCAGTTTTGTTGTGTCCTAAAGTATTGTGACCTTAAATTATGGCCAGTAGGTTGGCACAAAACAGTTGGTAGAAAAATAGACAGGTTTTAGAGTTTATGTAGTCACAATGTTGTAGACTTGTAGTCATGTTGTGTGTTCTCTTAGATGTAATCAAAGTTGAATTAAGATTTGTAGACATTTTTTTTTTCTTGGGTGTATTTTAATAATTTTAGTTTTTACTTTGTTGTTTAAACTAATCATGAATTGAATGGATTTTTTTTGGGATAATGTATCATGCCTGCGAAGAATGTACTTGTCTATGTTGCAACTGATGTAAGGTTTATCGATGATTCGATGCAAGTGAGAGGTTAGATGGTGCTGCGTGTGTTTTGTCTTGGCAAGGACAATAATATTGACGGAAAGGATTCACAATACTGACTATATGAAGGATGGTTATCAGCTTATCAATTGTCGAGTTATCAGGCTGGAAATTACTTGCAATGTTAAAACATCCATTTTTATCTATTGATAAATCATGTAATGTGACATGTATGATTGTATATTTGTATGAAGTATAGGGTTAAAATAAGTCATTTTGGACTTAATTCATGTGGTTATGTGAAAATTAGATAATACACCCGGGTGCACCATGCTGCACCCGGGTAAACAAAAAAAGGCGGAAAGAACATATAGTGTTTGATAAAGAACATACCTATGTTTGACAAAGAACATACCTTTAATATGTTCTTTGAGTGTGATCAATGTGTTCTTTGAGTAAAATTATATGTTCTTTATATTATAACATATGTTGATAAACATATATTTTTTTTGGGTTTAATAATACAAAGTATGTTCTTTGAATTTGGCGTGTATGTTCTTTAAGGTCGTAGTGACTCCCAAATTCTATTTTTTATTATCATATGTCATATTTAAATTACTTTTATTATCGTATATTCTTTGAGTTTGATTAATGTATTATTTAGGTATTAACTATATGTACTTTACAATATAAATTATGTTCTTTTAACATATAATATTTTGAAATTTTATATTGAAATCTTAAATTATTTTTAATTGAAAATAATGTTAGAGTAAAAAAAAACTAAATTATTATGGGAAGTTGAATTTTTTTTTGGAGAGATAGAAAACTATTTTTTGGGGAAATGATATCTTTGGTAAGGATTTTTTAAGAGGTGATCAACATTGGCATGACTCGCATCCCGACCCGATCCGACCCGAAATAGGGTGGGTTTGGGCAAACCTAAAAATGCATTTTTAGTTAAAACTCGAACCGGGTTCGAAAAAAGCCCGAAAACCCGCTACTTTTCTACGGGTTTGGGCACAAGAAATTATGATATGGCCCGGCCCTACTCGATTTTTTATCACCTCTAAATTTTTCCCGTTAATAATGTGTAATTTTTCAGAAAATTTTATCAAGTTTTTATCTCGTTCTTTTTATTATATCTCTATGTTCTTTGGTAATTCATGTTTTTGTCAAATACAAATATGTTCTTTGTCAAATACATGTATGTTCTTTATGAAACACAGGATGTTCTTTCCGCCTTTTTTTTATTTATCCGGGTGTACGATGAGCACTGTACACCCGTGTGTATAAACCACGGATTAGTGGTTATGTAATCTTTATCAACAATCATACATCGCTGTCGAAAAAAAAAAAAATCAACAATCATACTTTAGGATGATGTCTTATAATGTATACACTCAACAAAGTCAATACTCTATTATGTTAGCGTAGCCATTGATATGTTAAGATTGTTAACCAAACATATTCCGAAAATGTGTACTCCGTAATATTTTGATCTTGGGCAGTACTCTAGAATTGGTTAGTATCAAGAATAAACATAACAGATAATCAATTGTAGCTCAAAAATGTTCCCTTCTCTCAAAGTTGGAGACTTAAGGGTATCTTGATGATTTATTTTTGGATAATTTTTTCAGTTTAATTTAAATGGCTGAGGACCTTATGAAATTACTTGTATGAAATCCGAAACCTCAAAAATCTCTCAAAAATTGTGGATATTAGCCTTTAATTTTGGAATTTTTTGACTTTTTTTCACCCGGAAATAAAAATTGCCGAAATGTTTGTCATGGTCCCTAATAGCCTCCGGGAATCCAATGGGCTAGATGGAACCATCCAATTTGCCTTTAAACGACCAATTTACCAGTTTACATTCTTTACAACTTGCACCGATTTAACTAATTTAACTCGAGCTTACCACAAACATTTATGACAACATGCAATGATCATATATGAATTCATTCAAACGGCATTATATGACCCCATGATGTATCTAATAAAATCTCATTTCTTTTCGACACCTAGCCTCAAAACCTTCGAAATTTCTCAAAAAAGTGTGGATATTAGCCTTAAATTTAGAATTTTTTTTTGACTTTTTTCGCCCGAAAATTAAAAAATGCCGAAATGTTTACTATGGTCCCTAATACCCTCTGAGGTCCAATTGGGTGGGTGGAACCATCAAATTTGCCTTTAAACGGCCAATTTACCGGTTTACAACTTGCACTGATTTCATTAACTCAAGCTTACCACTAACATCTATGACAACATATAATGATCATATATGGTTCCAAACGGCATTATATGACACCTAGATGTATTCCCTGAATTCTCAAGATTTTGCGACATCGGGCACCGAAACCTCCAAAATTTCTTAAAAAGCGTAGACATTAGTCTTCAATTTTGGAAATTTTTGACTTTTTATCGCCAGAAAATAAAAATGGCCGAAATGTTTACCAAGGTCCCTAATACCCTCCAGTAGTCCAATTGGGTGGGTGGAACCATCCAATTTGCCTTTAAACGACCAATTTACCGGTTTACAACTTGCACCGCTTTCATTAACTTAAGCCTATCACAAACATTTATGACAACAAATAGTGATTATATATGGTTACAAATGACATTATATGACCCCGAGATGTATTCCCAACAATCTCAAGGCTTTTTAATACCGAGCCCCGAAATCTCTAAAAGTTCTCAAAAAGCGTGGATTTTGGAATTTTTAGACTTTATTTCGCATGGAAATAATAATTGCCAAAATGTTTACCATGGACCCTAATACCCTTCCAGAGTCCAATCGGGTGGGTGGAGCCATCCAATTTGCCTTTAAACGGCTTATTTACTGGTTTATAACTTGCACCGATTTCATCAACTCAAGCCTACCACGAACATTTGTGAAAACAAATAATGATTATATAGGGTTCCAAACGGCATTAAATGACCTCGAGATGTATCCTTTAGAATTTCAAGACTTTTCGATAGCGGGCCCCGAATCCTCCAAAATTTCTCAAAAAGCGTGGATATTAGCCTTTAATTTTGAAAATTTTGACTTATTTTTCGCCCGGAAATAAAAATTGTCGAAATGTTTACCATTGTCCCTAATGCCGTCCGGGAGTCCCATTGGGTTGGTGGAACCATCCAATTTGCCTTTAAACTACCAATTTATCGATTTACAATTTGCACCGATTTCATTAACTAAAGCCTACCACGAACATTTATGACAACAAATAATGATATTATATGGTTCCAAACAACATTATATGACCCTGAGATGTATCCCCAAAATTTTAACACTTTTCGACACCAGATCCCGAAACCTCCAAAATTTCTCAAAAAGCGTGGATATTAGTCTTCAATTTTGGAATTTTTAACTTTTTTTCGCTTGGAAATAAAAATTGACGAAATGTTTACCGTGGTTTCTAATACCCTCCGGGAGTCTAATTGGGTTAGTGGAACCATTCAATTTGCCTTTTAACGGCCAATTTAATAACCTGTGTTACAACTTGCATGGATTTCATTAACTTAAGCCTACTACGAACATTTATGACAACATATAATGATCATATATGGTTCCAAACGGCATTATATGACTCTGAGATGTATCCCCTAAAATATTTATACTTTTCTACACCGGGCCTCGAAACCTCCAAAATATCTCAAAAAGCGTGGATAATTTAGACTTCAATTTTGATATTTTTTTTATTTTTTTCCCCCGAAAATAAAAATTGCCGAAATGTTTACCATGGTCCCTAATATCCTCCGGGAGTCCAATTGGGTGGGTGGAACCATCCAATTTGCCTTTAAACGACCAATTTACTGGTTTACAACTTGCACCGATTTCATTAATTCAAACCTACCACGAACATTTATGACAACAAATAATGATCATATATGGTTCCAAACGGAATTATATGACCCCGAGATGTATCCCACAGAATTTCAAGACTTTTCGACACCGGGCCTGAAACCTCCAAAATTTCTAAAAAGTGTGGATATTAGTCTTCAATTTTGATTTTTTTTGACTTTTTTTTCGCCCTAAAATAAAAATTGACGAAATGTTTACCATGGTCCCTAATACCCTCCGAGTGTCCAATTGGGTGTGTGGAACCATTCAATTTGCTTTTAAACGGACAATTACCGGTTTACAACTTGCACCGATTTAGCGGTTTACAACGGCCAATTTAATTAACTTGCACCGAACCCGACTTGAATCGAAATTGACCCAAACCCGCTTTAACCCGTTAAAACCCAAATTTAACCCGACTTGTTACTAACCTGACCTGAATTCAACCCGACCCGAATTTAACCCAACTTATTACAAACCCGACCCGAAATCAACCCGGCTTGTTATTCACCTGACCCAAATTTAACCTGACTTGTTATTCTTCCGACCCGAATTTTACCATACCTATTACTTACCCAGCCCTAAAATTCAACTCGATCTGTTACTAACCCGACTCGAAATAAACATGACTTGTCATTGACCCGGCCTAAATTCAACCCAAATTGTTCCTGACCCGATTTCAAATCACCTTAAATGCAACTTAGACCACCTTATTATTGTTGATCAAAGCATTTTGTCTTGGGAGACCAAGTCGGTCCAGGCCAGCAAAAGAAAAGAGCATCATCCTCAAATTTAAGAGTTAATTATAGTATATATTTATTTGTTGTATGGTTAAAGGAGATAATTAGCTTTCTAAATTGTAGAATATAGTTCGTTCCCTAGTATATTGCCATATATATTATAGTCAAAGGAAATAATTAGCTAGATAAAAATGATAATTATCTATTTATTATACTTAGTTGAACCCGAATGTGACCTGACTTGAAAATGACCCGACCTGATTGTAACTTTTGATTAGGGGATTTTTATCCACCAAGCACCGTTTGACAAGTGGACCAACCAGGTTCCGCCACGCGTCCTCCATGGACCACTTAAGACACGCCACGTGTCCACCCATGCCAAATGGGA